AGTATCTATTTTTCTTTCATCAATTCATTTATTAATTCAAATATTTTAATTGTACCATTTTCTAATCCAGCTACAATAATAGATGAATTATCATTAAATGCAAAAGATAAACACCTTATTGATGAGTTTTTATTGTTTTCTTTCATTAATTCATATGAGAATGGTTTAGGATTACAAGGAACTTCATCTTCAGAATTTTCGACCTGATTTATTTCAAATTCTTCACTGTAATCTTTTAGATTTTATATAAATTTGTCAGTGATTTCTATAAACTACTCTGCTAGCCTGTGCTTTTCTTTATTAAATTTAATAAAGTTGCTTAAAATATTACTAATTTCATTTGAATTTAAATTTAGCAGATCGCTCTCCATTATTGAATACGTAGCTAGAATTCCTGATTTAAATTGCTTGAAATGTTATTACACTTTTGAAAATTAGATTTCTATCTCCTCTACTATTTTATTGCATTATTAAGATAAGTCTTTCAAATATTCACAAAGTTTCTCAATTTTTTCAGTATCTTTATTATGATTTCCATGTATGGAATCAATTTTAGAGCATTATTCAAAGCAAAATAATCTTTTCTCTTTACAATATTCATTTGTACAAAACTTCTCAACAGGATATTCATGTCCCCTAGCACATTAAAGCTGCAACATTCTAATAAATTAATTATATTATTACCCTCTAATAAAATGATAATAGAAAAATGAAAAAATGTATAATAATAAATAACTATAAATAATTGTGTGTAAAAGATGTAAGGTTTTTGCAGATGAGATTCTAATTATTATCAAATAGAATAATTATACATCTCATGCAATGCTAAGTAAAGAAAAAAAAATTTGATTACCAAATATTATGATTTCTTAATATAGGGGACCTTGTCAGACAGCATAAATAATAAATAATTATATGTTAGAACTGGTTTTTTCAATAATTGAAAGCATATTTATTATTAACGACAAGAATACCTTTTCTTCCAATTTATCTTGAAATGCTGAGTTTTTTTTGATATTTGGCATAAAAATAATAAATATGAAGATGTAATTTGAATTGAAAAAGATTAAACTAAGGCTATCCTAAACATTTTAAGCAGTTGAAATTAATATAATTCTTCATTGTAAGACTTCCTTGTTAATATATATCTGTAGAATAATCCTTCCCTTTGGAAATATAAGTCCTAATTTTCCACCTTATTTTAATGTTCTGAATATAGTTGCTTCACAAACAAACTAATTTTTGATACCTGTTATTCAAAGTGTTAATGTAATTTCTACCTGAGAGTTCTTCATTAAATATTGACAAAAATTCGTACATTGACTGAAAAAAACTAGCAATAATTTTTAATTTATAATAGATACAAATGTTAAATCATTAATCATAAATTTATTGATTAGAATAGAAATAAAAATTTAACTTTATATTCAT